CCCCACAGTCTGGGTCCTCATTTCACCCACCTCGGAAGGATGGAAGGCTGAGTCAACCTGGAGCCGGTGAGATTAGAACCGCCAAACTGCAGAACTGCAGTCAGCTGAAGTGGCCTGCAGTACTGCACCCTAACCACTGCGCCACCTCAGCTCTTGGCAAACCTATGGAGCCGAGGACACACGAGGCGTTGCCCTGTCAGCTCCAGCTGATTTTCTTGCCTTGATTTTTGGCCATTTTTCACCCTCCAGAGGCTTCCCAACGCGCAAACCGGAAGTCAGAAAATGGCCCGTTTCCAGCCTCCGGTGGGCCTCCAGGGGTCGAGCGAGGCTGTTTTCACCCTTCCCAGGCTCCAAGAAAGCTGTGCTCAAATGCGCAGGGGGCACAGTGCAGGGGGCATTAAATTATGGGGGTGGGCACGGGCATGCTTTTGGCACCCGAGGCGAAAAAGGTTCGCCATCACTGGCCTAGGAAATTATCACATAAGAGAAGGCAGAGCCCACAGCTGCACAACTGGCTGGGAAAGACACTCGGAAAGGGTCTCTCTAATTTCTCAGGCTATAAAAGAGACTGCGGGAGATTCGTACTTTCAGACTTTCAAGATTTCTGTTCGTGTAACCTTTCCAAGAAAGTAGAATTAGCTCCTCTGTTTGTTCTGCATGGAAAAGGAAGACAAAATAAGGCACCAGGAGGGACATCCGTCAGAGTGAGTGACTTGGGCTTTTCTTTCCGACAGGAGATCATTATGCTTGCCCTGTCCATTCCTGGACCACAGGCGAAGGCCTTGCTGAAAGTGTGTTGAAATACAGGTAGGAGAGATGGGTCGAGGGGGATATGGGCAGGGGGATGGAGGAAGAGCCGGTGGGTTTGCCTTTCAGTGGCCCCTTCCAGCTCTCCAAGCACTGGAAGTCAGAGGTAAGGAGCTGTTGAGAAGCTCCTTGGAGGCTCTTATCTCATCCACCTTCAGCCACAAAGAGGGTCCAGCTGCCCTATGTGGGTCTTCCCCTGGGGTGGGTTCTGGCCGGCGTTACTGCCAGTTCGTTCGTGCGCGCACTGGATGTATGCTGTGTGCACATGTGCAGTTCATGCACAGAACTCCAGAAAAAGATGGTGGCAGCAACGATGGCGACTGGGGAACCGGTTCAGGGGCGTGGCCAGCCTGGGTCACTGTGGTTCTTTGACCCACGCCGGCATACCACTACCGGTTTGTCCGAACTGGTCCGAACCGGTAGGAACCCACCTCTGGTCTCCCCTCCTCCCAGGAGGTCCTAGAGTGACTAAGTCCCGATGTCCTTCTCAGGGGTCTTACAGATGGATGGCGAGGCTGGTCCGTCACCATGAAGGATGGTACCCAGTGGGCCGAGCTGGCTGGCCACGACTATGTCTTGGATCTGATTTCTGATCTGGAGCTGATCCGTGGTTTCCCCAAGCAGAAGTCCTACTTCATCCTTGCTTCTGAAGACCCAGAGAAATTCACTGGTGGCAAATTGTAGGTGGCCTCATGATTCTTCCTTAGGCTGTACTTTTCTGTTTGGAAAGGGTAGTGTTCAAGAGCCTTCATTGGTTCAGGGGGCTTACCAAGGAAGAAGAAAGCTACCAACAAGGATGGTGTTACCACAATGATGGGAGACCCCAGTCTTGGAATTGAGATGGCTGTGGAATCTTCCATCTTCTATGGTCTTGGCCCTGGATGGGACCATGATTTTTTCCCCTAGACTGTGAAAGAGGCTCCCCTTAGATTCATGGACCAGTTCTGGACCATCTCCATGTCAAGGTTGACTTTGGTCTTTCCCTCCTTCTGCTTCTTAGAGTTTTCCAACGTGGTTTGGATTCAGATGGGAGGGTTCCTCCTCCCCCACTGATGAAGGCCCCCACCGTGGCCTCTGCCCACCTGCCAGACTCCGAGGGATATTGCAGCCATGGTGAGAGGTTGGGATGAGGCTTATGGTTTGTGTCAGGGCATGGGATCAATTGTTGCAAGATCTGGGGTAGTGCTGGGGCCACACCGATGTGGTGTGTCTATGAAACTGTGTTTAGAGCAGTGTTTTTCAACCTTGGCCCTTTAAGATGGGTGGATTTTAGCCCTCAGCAATTCTGGCTGGGGAATTCTGGAAGTCCACGCATCTTAAAGAGATGGTCGGAAAACATTGGATTAGAGAATGCGTTTTTCTCACTAAAGGAGAATATTTGTAGCTCAGAAAAAAGTCTGCAAGAATTCAAATTCAAATTCAAATTTAATGAATTTATATGCCGCCCAATCCCGAAGGACTCCTGACCAAGCTCAGAGAACACCAAGGACCCCCCCCCATTTCTCACTGCCCCATTTTTTGCGTTCACCCAAAACAAAACACAGAATTGTTTTATGCCACGTATCACCCATTCAGCTGCTGACATGGGAAATGCGTGTTTTGAAAAAACGCTTCTCTACCAGCAATCCGAATGGCGAAAAATGTCATTTTTCTCTTTGCAATTTATCTTATTTCTATTTCATTTTCCTTTCTTGAAAAACAACAACTGGAAACAGATTCAGATACCTACAGTGAACCCCGGAGCCAAAAAGGACTGGATCACTATCTGGATAGCCTCTTTGATCCTGTGCTGTCTTATGGGAAAGGGGTAAGACAAGCATCCCCCTCTCTCCCCCCACCCCACCCCCAGGTTCAAAAAAAAGGGACATCCCAGCGTAGCTTGCAACTTATTTCTCCTAGAAATCTGTTTTTCCAAGAGCCGGGAAAATGCGGGTGTTTCGTTGCCAGCATATTGAAGGGAGATCAGATGGGTTAAGAACGTTTGAAGGGATTCAGCTCAAAGGCTTTTTTCTGCCCCATGGGGGCTCAGGCCTCGGGTGTCCTGAAGGGGAAAACGGGTCTGTAAAAGCCACTTTGGTTTCTACCCCCCCCCCCAGGAACTAGAGAAGCCAGCGGCCATCTCACAAAGGATGAAAGGCGGAGGTTGTGTTGGGCACGGTGACGGTGACAATGAGACAGCTGTGGTCCCTCAGACCTCTGGTGAGTACAAGCCACGTTCCCTTAGTCCAGTGTTTCTCAACCTTGGTAACTTGAAGATGTCCGGACTTCAACTCCCAGAATTCCCCAGCCAGCGAATGCTGGCTGGGGAACTCTGGGAGTTGAAGTCCGGACATCTTCAAGTTGCCAAGGTTGAGAAACACTGCCTTAGTCGGAGAACCTTTTTGGCAACCGAGTGCCCAAACGTTTGCGGGAAACAGGCACGCACACTTGTTGAAGCCGTGCTCCAGAAAAGCAAAACTCCCGGGTTCTGGCACACATGTGCACCCAACAATCAGCCTGTTGGCGCACATGTGCAGGCCGATTTTCGGCACTGTGGCACACACAAAGAACAGCTGATCATCGCGCGCATATGCAGCCCAGAAACCCAGAAGACCAACAGGCAAGGCTGCGCGTGCCGGGCAACGTGGCTTCGCACGTCACTTTGGGCATGCCTCCATAAGTTCACAATCACGGCCTTAGTCGATATATTAGTTGGAGGATAAAAAGCTTTCTCTGCCGTCATTTAGAGAGCGCGAGTCTCCCAATTTTGTGAACATGTAGAAGCGCAGTAACACAACCGTCACAATAACAGCCACGATCAAATTCTATCCGTGCCAGAATAAGACGCAGCAGGTCCAAGTTATGTTGTTAGACTAGAAATGGTTTGTGCAAAGGCGGACAATGACGAAGAAGAAAATTCCAGAGACCGGGGGCCACCCAAGCTGGATCTTGTTACCGTCGGTGATGCTGCTCAGGAGTAGCTGCATGCATTTCTGAGTGCCAGGAAGGTGTCCTCTGTTTTTGCAAGCGTTCTTTGCATTCAGCTGACTGTTATCTGCAGTTCAGCGGTTCTAATCTCACCGGCTCAGGGTTGACTCAGCCTTCCATCCTTCCGAGGTGGGTGAAATGAGGACCCAGACTGTGGGGGCGATATGCTGACTCTGTAAACCGCTTAGAGACGGCTGAAAGCCCTATGAAGCAGTATATAAGTCTAACTGCTATTGCTATTGCTATTGCTATTGCTTTGGCAAACTCAAAAGGCTTTTTCCATCTTCCCTCTCCACAGGAAAGAAGGAGGAGGCTGTGTTGACCCAGCTGGCTTATGGCAAACACCGAGAGTCCTTCCTGGTTAGTAAAGGCAGGAACTCTCCGGCTGAAGTAGAGGCACTTTGGAGAAGTGCTGGATAGAGAGGGAGGGGTGCATTTCTGAAAAGAAATCTATGGAGATTCCCAACCATTCAGGTCATGGTTGGGACCACCAATGGTGCTTTTTCCAAAAGGCAACTGGACTTCCTTGGGTTTTTTCCCCCCTTGAAAACGTTTCGCTTCTCATCCCGGAAGCTTCTTCAGTTCGTGGCTTCTTGGATGAGAAGCAAAACGTTTTCAGGGAAAAATAAAAAGAGGAAAGTCCAGTTGCCTTTTGGAAAAAGCACTTTTGGGAGTGCAGCATCCTGCACAGATTTCATTCTCTCCTGCTTTCCAGCTGAGACACAGATCAGTTTCACAGGGGTATAAGGAGGGGGGAGGAAGGCCTACCAGACTTAATCCTCAAACAACCCTTTGCCAATTTCGCCATCGGTGAGGAAGCCAGGAGTTGCTTTGGGTTGGCATCTGGGCACCTGCCAAGGCTGCATCCACAAACCGATCCCTTCCCCTTTTCCGATGCCTTTATACCCTTCTCAGCTGACCCGAGGCTGGCCGACACTGGATACTCACCTCCCCAGCAGCCTCTGTATCCCATTTCACTTGCAGGCTGGCATCCCAAGTGCCATAGCCCTGGGCCTTTTCCTGCTGCAAATCCTCCGGGCAAGGACGGGGTTTCAATCCACTGACCTGTCCTGGAGCGATGGCCCAGGTCTGGGGGATGGCGGGTGGAGGGAGAAATAGCCTGGCAGAGGGGGGGGGTCTTCTTTGGCTCCCCTAGACCAGTGTTTTTCAACCTTGGCGACTTTAAGTCCTGTGGACTTCAACTCCCAGAATCCCCCAGCCAGCACAGCTGGCTGGGGAATTCTGGGAGTT